CAAGTGACGGGGCGAATACTGGCCACCTCAATGGATAGCGTGTGCGCTCGAAAAAAGATCTGCAAGCTGCTACTGACAGTACGTAGTCCGGGCCGTGCATGTACCTACAGAAGTACGTATAAGCCCACTGTACCTACTGCACTTTAGTTTACCTGAGTCTTTTTCGCTCTCTTTTTCTCGTCACTCTTGACTCGATTCTCTCTTGCTCTCGTCTCAGCTTCAGTCTTGTCTGTGTGTGAGTTTGTGTGTGTGTGCGAGCGAGCAAGAGCTACGATCACGAGTTTTGCAGTCGCACGTTGAACGTGACCCCCCTCGGTGCATGCCTTAGCAGCTTCTATGTGCAGTATACATACAAACGGACTCTTCGAACTGCCGAGTGAGAAAGAGAGAAACAGCGAGAGAGAGAGAAACAGAGTCCGGAGTCAGCGGCCCATGAACCGGCTGCAACGCTGATTCGCGAGAATCTCGTTTGGACAAAGAGCATGAGCAATGAGAGAAACAAGAGAATGTAAAGAATCATCAAGAGGGGCGGTGCCCTTTTGCGCTCTCGCTCTGCACGAATGCGACACGAATAAGTAGATGTAGCCAGAAAAAGCCCGTAAGAGAGAGAGAAACAATTGAAAAACACGTCTTTCGCATTGCTACCGAGCTTGGAGTTTTTCGGACGAGCCGTAAGTAATCTGCCTGCGTGCCGTACGGCTGCGAGCGTGTATTAGTGCAGCAAGCCTTATACCTACACGCATTATACGAGCCGGCGATCGCGAGGGGGGTAAACACCGAGCACTACTCAACTGTGCACGATCGAAATATAGAAGCCTCGAGCTCGAACAAGCCGGATATCGGCTGCTAGTCGTGTGGCTTCGTCCTCCTCGTCGTACTGCATTTACCTTGATTGGAGAGCGCACTTCGGACGATTGCTGCGCCGGGAGAAAGCATCTCTCCGACCTCTACTACTACTGCTGCTGCTGCTGCTCTCTACGTTCACGTTCGACCCGATGGAGCCTATATCTTACCTACGACATATACGACTGCCTTCCGTTACGAGAGCAGCTTTGCACGCGCTGCTCCGTAGCTCTGTACTCGCTGCCGTTCACCCCATAGTCCTCCCTACTCTCCATCGCTCCTACCGCGACTCCGTGGCAGAATACGCTAATCGAGCGCAAAGGATCCTCTGCACAGAGGCGCGAATCATTTTGCTCAATTATAATAAATATCTCTCGAGCAAAGGAGGCTTTTTGTCTTCTCGTTCGGACGAAAAAAAGACGGAGGAAAAAGGGAGAGAATAAAGAAGCAGCGAGTCTATTAGATCAAACGAGATGTCGAAGAAGAGGCGACGATGAGAGAAGAAGCAACGAGCGAAAAAAAGAAACAGTCATTTCTCGTTATACACCTCTCGACGCTACGTAGCATTTCTATATAACACAGAAATCACGACGCAGCTCGACGCGATAATGAGAGTGTGAGACAAGGAGAAAGAGAGTAAGAGAGAGAAAGAAAGAGAGAAAGAAAGAGAGAGAGGAGCAAGAGCAAGAAAAGGAAGCAGAAGAAGAAAGAAGAGAGAGAGAAAAAAACGACGAGCAAGAAGGAGCTAAATAATGCTCGCTGAAAGTAGTAATATAAGAAGACGAAGCTACTGCTACTGCTACGCAGAGAAAGAGAGAAAGAGAGAAAGAGAAGAGGAAGAAAAACGAGACAACGCGCGGCCTCGTGCGCTGCAGCCTTTTTAGATGTGTACACATCCCTGCGCACTGAGCGCGACAGCCTATATCTATACCGCGCGCAACTTTCTCCCGACGATTTTTCACTTTTCTTTGTGGCTTTGCAGATCTCCTCCCCCTTCGCGCTCTCCTTTTTTTTATAACCCCTCGTCGACTTACTTCCGCTTCCCTTTCGCGTTCGCTGCCTCGAGCCCGCTCACTACTGTACCTATGACGACGACTACTACTACTACCACCACTACTGCAGCCTAGTCGCTCCTTTTTCACGCGGTGTTGAGCTTTTTGTGTGCTTGCGAGAAATCTACCCTCCCTTTTTTTCTTCTCTCTCTCTCTCTCTCTCTCTCTCACTCCCTCTAGCTAGCATCATCCGGGTCTTTTGCCTCGACGAGTACGTATAAGGTTTAAGCGAAATAGTCCCTTACAAATGGTCGTGTCGACGACTGATTGGTATTAATGAGCTCGATTGGCCTCGACCATATATTATGAGCTCGCTCGCGCATACACATGCATACATATATCCTTTGCGCAACGATTATTAATCGCCTGCTCGTCGTTGCGCTTTCAATTTTATTCCGATATACATCGGGCGCGCAACGTACATAGCTCCGAGCCAGTATATAGTTTTACCTTCCTTTTTTTTCTTTCTTTCCTTTCGCATTCTCCGATTGTAATCGACGAATGCCAATGCACTAATGACGAAAGCTATTTTTTCCTCAAGGCTGCATGCGGACAGATATTCGACGCGTATAATTATCCGGCGTATCGGAGGGAAAAAATTAAGCTTCGATTCAAAAGCAAAAATAATTGAACGAGCTCGCGCACAGTGGCTTATTATACTGGATTTGTAATGATTCCGAAGCCGTAACGCTTTAGCTGCGGTATATACAGCTTATATTATTAATGCATTTAATATATCGCTTATTAAAAATTTGATTAAATTAAACATTCGATCGAGACTGGCAGATCCATTCGGAATTTCTTTATAATACATACACGTATAGCGAGCTTATAACTCAATTACACAGTTATATACTGCTAGAAACTTGATTTGGGTGAGAAAAATGCCCGTCGAAATTGCTGCTGAAATTCGCGCCGGTTTATATAGAGGTCGGGCGCTTTGATGAAAAGTCACACGGCGGCAAAACGATGGTGCGCGCGTCTATCGCAATATCGAGCAACAAAGCGATTAATCATAGATAAAATTAAATATGACTCGAGAGCTGCAGGTGAAAATTCGCTTTTCGCAGGCCAACGCGTATGTATATAGTATGTAGTATATGGCGCTATATAAATAATACAATTTGCAACGCGCGCCCGTTTGGTACACGTAACGCGAAAAGTTTATTCGGCTATAGACGTATGTATAGCGACTCGGGCGGGGCAAGCCGCAACATTTTCCATTAGCGGCCGACGCGTGTATAAATGTAGGTATATAAAGCGCGCGCTCGAGTGAGGTATTTTTACGCCGCTACGAGCAACAACAGCGTCAGCAGCGTACAACAAGAGCAAAGTAATTCGAAAACAATCGGAAAGGGAAAACTCATCGGGAAATGTGTGAGTGTACGTTGCCGGATAAAACAAAAGCAACGTCGCCCTGTATTATCTATTACCTATATACAAGTTGGCGGCGTGGACGAGCTGAAAGCTAAAACGTACGAATAACGAGAGCACCGAATTTAAGCTTTAGACTCTGTCGGTGCGTGCAGCGGTCGTTGCGCCGTTTCAGGACGCGCAATAATTGACACCTGCCCGTTACAGTCTCCCCGCCTCCCTCGCCCACGCATATACGTGTATACATAGAAAATCGAACCGAAATCCACTTTAGTCAACGCATATTGTACTCTCGAGTTAAATTAATTGTCGATTATTCAAGCTCGCTATTGCACAGGGAGAGAGAGCAGGAGCAGAGCAGCGCAGAGCAGAGCAGTGCAGCGGCATCGGGAAGGTCGAATCAGTGCGACAGAGAGAAAATCGATTATTTAGCGTAACATGCGTAGCGACGCGTCCCTGCAGCAAGCCCCGCGCGCGAGCTAGCTTACGCATGTATTCTATTTGATGTGCGGCGTTGGCGGCGACGTCGGCGACTCGACGCGCAAACAACAAACCGTAACATTAATAACAGAGACGCGCCAGGCGCATGTCCTCGCTCATGTATATATATTAGAGCTCGAATCAGCATATACAGCGACTCTGCGCGCGTATGTAGTATGTACACGTTTATATAGAGTGTCGAGGCGAGCTAGCCGAGCGTATAGTGTCGCGCGATAAGCATCGCCCCGCGTGCCCTCACCTAGGTAAACGCCCGTACATATCCTGCGACGCGAGCCTCTGTACCACACACACATACACACAAGGGGTGACCCGACGCAATTAGCATAGATCTAGCCGGGTCGAGCGAGTCGAGCTGCTCAAGCTGCTGGCCTCGCGCAGCTCCTCGTCCTTCCCGATTAGCTTGATTAAATACGCCGACGCGTATTACGGCGCCGCACTGGCCCCGACGTTTTTGGCGAATTAGTTTGTACTGCGACTTGCAAGCTGTTGCATATATGTATCTACCTCTGCCCTCTCGCTTTTTTCCCGTTATATCCCCCCGAGGGTAAGAGGGAGAGAGAGAGAGCGAGAAAGCTCTATTTACGTAATTTTTTGATAAAGCCGACAGCCAGATGCAGTGGCATGGCCCTGGCTCTGCTCGGCTCCGATAAGGTCGCGAAATATATACTACGTGGCGCGGGCGACTCTAATCCAGTAGCAGCAGCAGCAACTCACCCCGCGCGCTCTGTGTAAACGAGAAAATCTGCTCTATCGTTCCGTAGTCGCGCGCAGCTTTTCAAAGTCAAACTGCCGCCCACACCCGTTACGGCTAATCGATCGAAAAACAAACAGAAATTAACTTTTACTCGTTGGATGCAGAGCCGCGCACTGGCTTCGAGTCGTGCGCTAACAAAAATAGTCGTGGGAGCCCAATCCGCAAAAGCAGCCTCTAACGATCGTCATCGCGTGCAATTTCACCGATACATGCCTCGCTACACGCGCACATACATATATCTTGCCTCTTCTGCTCTCGAGCCTCGTGTGCCTCCTCGGCCGCATATCGCGCTTTCGAATCTCCCTAGGCCATGTAATCAATACACGCGCGCATTAATGCACGCACGTTTCTACCTATACTGCATGGCAGGCTGCGATTTATCCGCATCGCTCGATACATCTAATATATATTCCTTTATTTCTCTCTGTTACAGGTGATGCAGCCTTAATAGCACTGGTATGAGCAAGAATCGTCGAGAAAAATCGACGGTATTATCGACGACGAGTGAAAGCGATCGAGACAGCCAATAGTCCTAGTCGCATAAACCATAGGCCAGGCTAGCTTTCCACATGAGCTCGGCTTCGTTGCAGGATAGAAAGAAATGAGGCTTCACAGGGACGTCGTGCCCTGGCTCGGGCCGCCCTATTACTCAAGAGTAGTGACCGATCGGATCGCTTCCTTCACCTGAGCAGCCATTCCAAAGAGCAGAAATCCGACATACACACACCAACGCACACACACACACATATTCGAGGAAGAGATATAATAAGCGCATCGAGTACGAGAGAATACATAGATGCAGACTTATTACATAGACGAAGCGAAAAACACAATACAAAGTTCGAGTACTCTGGAGGAGTATATAGACGCTGTAATTGCTTTTGCCTCGCATTATATCCTACTCCTTGGCTGCAAGCTGCTAGCCCGAGCCTCGAGAGTGTATCATTATTAACGGGACACGCGCTATTATTATTAGTTTCAGCCAAAGCATTGCTGTACGCGAGCGCGCGCGGTATAATCTCGCCGCACGAGCGCACCGGCCTGCTCGTGTGCTCTATGCAGTGTACTTTAGCACTGCAACAATGAGATTTGGCTCGTGAGCTCGCGCGCGAATTCCTTCTCGCAAATTACCTGAAATATTACTCGCGCGCGAAAAGTGACGCTTTAGCGGCACTGCAGCCTATACTTTCGCCTATACGAGCTGTAAATATGTACGTATACGCCAGCGGAACATATATTTATACCGGTCCGCGCAGGCTGCGAAAGCTCGAGGGAGAAACGAGTGGATTTTAGCGCTATTTGCTATTACTTTTCTTATACGAGCAAACAAGTGGCCAGGTAATGCGATATCGATTTTGCACTTGCGCCAGGCGCGTATACGCGTGTGCAATGTGCGCGCGGACTGCCACGACCCGCCGATCCAGGTCAGCTTATTCCACACTTTGTATACACTTACGCGGCTGTACCTACGTGCACCCACTAGCTGCGCCGTTTTTGTAAACTCTCCGAGCGTATAAGCCCGCGTTCTCTCCTTTTATTTACCACTGGCTGCCACCGTGCCAGCTCTGTATTTTCTAGCCACTATATACGTTCCTCGCTTTTTCTTCCCTTTTTTTTACTTTACTTCAAATTTCATACGTGTACCGCAGCGCTGGCAAGTAGAAGATTGCTTTTTGCGCTCTCGAGAGCGGGCTATAGCGACAGCAGCAGCAGCAACTCGCTTATATGGGTGTGTGTGTGTGTTTGATAAACAATGACGTTGTATTTTTTCTCGCTTTCCAGAAAGCGCAATTAAACAAAATGGCCAAGAGAAAAAGCTCGATTGGCTGGATTGCGTTGCTGGGTTTGTTGCTGCTACTGAAAGTAGTGGGTCAAACCTGGGGCAGTCACAACAGCGCTTTCGACGGCGCGGACATGGACACGTTCACCGACTCGATAAGGGACGGCGTGCGATGTCCCTCGGCCTGTACCTGCGCCGGCCAAGAACTCGACTGCGGCAAACGCGCCCTCACCCAGGTACCGCCCAATCTCGCCCACTGGATAATCGCCGAAAAACTGTAAGTATATACATAAAAGATCGTTAGGGTATCGCCTTAACAGACAGATGCAACGATGAAAGTTTTCGAGGGAGGAGAAAAAAACGAGCGCGAGCATAAAGACGTTCGCTCGGTCGAGCAGCCGAGCGATACCGACTTTCTGCGCGCACATGCAGATATATTATAGCGACGTCGGGGTCGTAAGTCTATGTGTGCACTTAGCGGCGCGAGCGGGAAACGTTTTTCTCGTATAACGAAGGCAGCTAGGCTCTGTGTACAGCATATAAGCGTCAGTCGCGTACACGCGCTTTAACGAGCTTGAGGGACGGAAACGACGCGGAAGGTGTAACACCACCGACGACTATATGCACATTTCTCTTTTTCTCTCTCACTCGCTCGCTCGCTCGCGCAACACGATTTTACGGCTCGCGAGTTCTTTCAACCCAGCGGGCGACGTGCACCGCGGAAAATAGCCCGCAAGCTCAAAGTACTGCGGCTGGAAAAGTTGCGGATCCTTATATTGCGTATGTACGCATGCATAGGCGCGCCTTGAGCGCTGGAGGAAAAAAAACCCTCGCCAGCTCCTCGCGATATGCCTTTCTTGTCACTTTTACGGACAGGCGTGCTTTTTTATTTCGAAAATAAAAATACCCGCTGATAGAGTCGAATATTATTTTCATCGCAACGTCATCGGGCAAAAAAAAATCAACGTCGATCAATCTGCTTGTTGGCCTTTCTCGTATAGTTGTCGGCACCGAAGCGAGATAAGAGCTTTTTCAGCGTTTCGTCGTGAACCTCTATACAATTCATGATGTTACTCGTTCTATCTAATAATGTCGATACACTTTCCACCGCGTATAAATAATTCGCTGCAAGCTTGTAAGCGGATTGTTTGTTGGCGTGTCTATAAATGTAGTTCGGTACAGCGCTTCGATTGGCACATCGTTTGGGTGTATTTTGGCGATAAAAATCACTGAATAAGTAATTCATTGATTTCTTGCGTGCACGGAGTTGTTGAATGATAGATGAAAAATCCAAAACGAGCTTCGGGCTAGTACAAGAAAAGCAAATTAGGGCTGCAAAAGGTCGAGAGGTGGTAAATTTCTTTCGAGGCAGTAGACTTATTTACGCGCGCAAGCCTGGAGGCTTGAACGCGATATGTATACCGTGTTACGACGTAAATGGAAGTACGAAGGAGCTAGCTCGAGCTCGAGAGAAAGAGAAATAAATAGGAAGCAGGAAACAGGTCTGCGGCACGGGCTTGCGCGACGAGTAACAGCAGAAGGAAGAGGAGGGCAGTAGTAAAGTACCGAGGAGACAAATCAAGCTCTATATTTACGCGATAAGAGAGAGAGATAAGGTCCAAGAAACAACGTCACCGTCGTCTGGGTCCGAGAGTTTGGAATGTTTATCGTTGCAGCTCGAGTCGTTGACGATGCGACGGCACAACTACTCGACTACTGCAAGCCGCGCGTATTTACAAAATAATTCACATCCTCGGCAGAACTTGCTAAAATCGTTTTGTATCGCGAGCTGTTCGCTAATGGAATCGTAATTACAAAGCAAAGTTCTCTCCCTCTCTTTTGCTCTCCAGCAGCAGCAGCAGAAGCAGCAGCAGCAGTAGTAGCCGATTGGTCTGTTTTTCTTCGAGAACGAGAGAAACGTCGCTTTATGCTAATGCACGAGGACGTATCGAGTACTTATGGAGTGCATAAGTGCAAGTCAGAAAATCAGCTGCATGCTCGAGCTATTAGTCCGACAAATAAATCACCACGAGTACCGAGCGGAAGGCTAATGCACGTATTTGCTTGATAAATAGCATTGTTGGAGTTTTTTCTTTCGCGAGAAAATTGAAGATTCTGTTAAATAGCCTCTATATTAAAAAGTCAGAGTGTGGCCGTGTACGCTTTATATCTTTGTCAACGGCAAAACTGAGCTGCGCAACGACTGCGACGACTCGAGACTCGAGACGTTTTTCTTTTCACTCTGCCTCCTTCTTCTTTTTTCTCTCGTTTATGAATGTATCCACGTGGAGTACGCGAGGCATTGCCTCATGCGACATTTCTTTCTGCTTCCCGCATTTAGGTACGCAAAAAAAAACCTAAACTTGAAACTCACGGCTCGCTTTCGAAAACTTAAATTGCACGTGACATTACGCCGAGAAATACGCGCCACGTACACATATATAAAAATCTCTTTACTCTGCTGGTGAAAGCACTTCAAGATTCGCATGTAGCCTTCGTATGAGCGCGCATATACACACGTCTTTTCATATCTTAAATCAAATTTTATCGAAAGAAAAATGAGCTAAACGGACCCTGTCATAATGTATACACTCGGCAATTGGAGAAAATTCAACGATGCAAAAAGCGGAGCTGTGTATTTGTGTAGTCAATGTTGTACAAGACCAGGGAAAAAACATATTCCACGAGGAGTTGAAAATAATACTTTTTTCGACGCTTGAAAATTTATCGCTTCTCAAGTTTTTGTTTGATAAAACAGTTACAATCTTGTTTAAAGTTTTCTTGCCCGCCATCGTCGCGTAGTCGCAAGTGCCACACGAAACTTTTCGAGTATGCGCGTGGGCACGACCGACCGAAGTAAGTTTGCATAAAGCAACGGAAAGTGCGTAAATTTTGCGAAACACAGGACGCTTTTTCTCTCGATTCCTTATATATAAAAAAAAACGGAGGAAAAAGTGGAGGCACACTCAGGCTCGAAGTCAAAACAGGCTTTGTTAGAAGTCGCGCAATGTAAAAGGAGGGAAAAAAGGAGGTCAGAAAATTTCCTCGGCTTGTCAACGAGCTCGAATAGTTTCCTAGTCGTTAAAGCTTTGGTGGAAGAAAAAGAAGTGCAGGCAGGCGACTATTCGGCACCTAAAAGCAGAGATCCGCTGAAATATTCCGGAAACGTGAATCGTCGGGCGTTGCTCGGTCGCGTGCTCACCCACGTACGTATACTTACAGTACGGCAGCTCAGACAGTAAAAGAAGACGAGGAGGAAGATGAGCAAGTGCAGAAGTCAAAATATCGCAATTATAAATTTGTATGTGCTCGCGCGCCTACAAGCCAAGCGTCGTAATCTAATTTGTCACGCGGCGCGGACTTTTACATTTACGGGGCAGAGGATTGAAAATGTATATACGAGCTTAGGCACACGCATGCGACATGCTCGTACAGACAGGCGCACAATATAATCCCGTTATATATACACAAATGATTTCCGCGTCGCTAAACATTTCTTCTTCTTTCCCTGCGCGCAGTTACCGGCTAGTAGATACGCCGTTGTTGTTATTATTATCATTACACTCGGCGAATATCTCATGCGTATCCTACATAAGTGCAGAGCAGTGCGAGGATTTTGGCGGGGGCCAAAGGGGCGAGGGTCTTTGGGGGTTTTTCGCAATGCACTCGCAAGGCGCGCACGTGAATGCCGAGGGTTTGCATGCCGTGCGTAGCATCTACGTGTAATATGTGTTTGTGCGTGCGTGCGTGTGTGGATCGACCAAGGGGATACCACTGGGAATCGCGTTAGAGTGATTAATTGTTCGAGTCGGTAAGCATCGATAAGTAATGAAGCTCTGTTCTTTTTTTTTCCTCCTTTCTGCGCAAAGTGCTTTTCTGCGCCAACTCGCCGGCGATCGTGTATATATCGCTGCGTATTCAAAGCCTCGCTGTATACACGCAGGCTCGAGCCGCTGCAACGTACGTTTGTAGCACCTATACATGCGTTTGTACGCGAGTGAGTTGATTCGACGCTAATAACATCAAGTGCAGTGCGCTGTAAAGGCATATAATATACTATAATGTTAAGCTTCTTGTAATCACTGCTGCGTCCGTGTGTGTACTGTGTATGCCTCGGCGTGTGATTTAAAATCCTCAGGCGCGCTCGCGATTATATAGGCGTCGAGCTTAAATCCGCTTAGGATTTCGTTTTCTCTCGCTCGCTCTTTCCGCACGGAGCATAGTACGTATGAAATTGTTTATTACGCAGTTGCGCCTAAGTTGATATTTCGTTTGCACAAATGCCGAGAAAAATCTTGCGCGCGGATCGGATGTGGCGCGGAGCGCATTAAAAGAAAATATCCCAGCCGTATATTTTATCGGTCGGGAATATTGGCACACGGCGGTGGCGCGCAATAACACTCGGCTTATATATCGAAATAACCAGCTCGTGCGTACAAGTATGCGGCGCAATAGCAACGGCAGTAGTAGTAGTAGCAGCAGTAGCAAGTGCGGATCGATCGAGGAGGAGCCGCCACTGGCCTAGGAATTGTATAAAAAGAAATTGCGGAGCGCAGCCCAGCATGAAATTCTCATACATATATGCCATCAAATGTAATTAGTAACGCTATTCCATGGGTGCGTGCGGTACGCGTCCCCACTGTCAAAAGCCTTATTACACGAGGCAGTAGCTGCTACTCGTGCACTACTGGGTAATACCGCGCGCGACTGCCGAAATTTATTCGCCGAGCTGCCGCGTCGATATATATCCTAGCGCCACCGAGTAAGATTGGCAAGAGAGCCCCTTGCACTTTCGAATGCGCAAGGGGAGGCATATGTCGCAGTTTCGCCTGCAGGACGCAAGCCTATATAGGATTAGATGATTCTTCGATTTTATACACCATGGGCATGCTGTATTGCTCCCATGCGCCTGCATACTTATACACACTAGGCTCGCTCGCTCGCTCGCTCGTTTTTCTTTTGTCTAGCTCGACGTGCGTGTACATGTGTTGTGTGTATGTATGGGCCATGCGCACGTGTGAGTGTTTGGATGTGGTTATATTCTTGCATACCTACGCGCGCCCGGGGAGACCCTTGCTATTGTCAAGTTCCAAGGGATTAGCGAGATTCGCACTCTCCTTCTCTCGCCTTCTCTCTCTCTCTCGCGCGCGTTCTGTACTGTGCGTGACGCTATTGTAATACCCATTGTTTTGCCTTTGTCACCTAGCCGTGTGTACATAAAGAACGAGAAAGAGACATGAAGGCTCTTTCCCGAAGCTTTTTATTTCGAGCTTTGTT